CTGTACTGTACCTACAGGAGACCTTCAAATGTTGTAGTCATTTATGAACCTAAAGAATAGACTACAGTACAGCGCCCTGTGAGGCTACAGTGGGCTTAGTCATCAATAGTGTTTAAAGAGACAACAGTTTAAAATCAGTTGTAGAACAAGAGGTGTTAATACTATGACCACATTATAAACCTTTAACCCTCAGAGTACACCATTCCTGCCTTCCTCCCACACACAACAAATGGACATTTGGAAGAAAAAATCATTGGGAAATTTGGGTCACGTGGACTCAGAGAATTTTGGGAGTTGGGGAATACCAGACAAATTCCTCTCCTGTACTGTCCTGTACTGTACTGCTTCACCACTGGTACAGTACCACCTCAAAGTGAAATACTGTATCGGTGCTACTAAAAAATGGGGACAGTTTTTATTTATGAACATAAAAACAGCAAAAAAAAAGTGAAGTACAGTCGGCCACAGGAATAAGCACACACACTGTAGCTGTAAGGTCGTCTGGTAACGTTTACACTGTGCATCCAGACGCATGATGAAGCTCAGCTCCCCCCACCTGTTATCTCTAACTATTTTTTGTTTCTCCTTCTTTATTCTTCTATTTACTCCTCTTCCTTCCTTTACTAATCCAAATACCATTAAAAAAAAGTACCGTAGGGTAAGAGGAAAAGGGGGGGGGGGCAGGGAGCTGTACGATAACTGCAATCCCATTGGGCAACAAGTTTACAACCATTGGATACAATATATTACTTGTAATATAAACACAAGACACTAGTAAAACATTCACAACAAATGTATTTATAACATATTTGTAGGAATAAAACGTAAATTACAGGTCATTTTGTCTGTTCTGTTGAGGACAGTGTTACCAGATATAAGGTCTCAAACACCAACCATAGGTGTATACTTATTCTTGTGGCCGACTGTACATACAGGCCAAGTGTTGTACAGTGCTGTATAATGGTACAACATGGGACGAGTGGTAGAGCTGGAGCAGTAGAGCTGGAGCGGTAGAGCTCAAGTGGTACAGCTCGAGTGGTAGAGCTCGAGTGGTACAGCTGGAGCAGTAGACCAGGTGTATCAGTCTCACAATCACTGATCTCTGTCTCATCACCACTACTAAAAGTTTTATTGACAGACTCTGGCAGGTGTTCAGTGTATGTGTGGGTGCCTTAAATACTGGTGGAGTGAGCCAGGGAGGTGAGAGGAGGCTGTCATCTTCAGTGCCTGTACTGTACTTTACAGGTATCCTTTACTATACAAATGGGTCTGGTTCCTTGAAAACCATTTGGTTATAGAGTTCCTGGATAGTGAATAACATAAGAAATTAAAAAAAAATAGGAACAATAAAAACACAATATTGTATTACAGTATACCTAAAAATGAATTCAGCTCAGGAACAAAAAAATCCACAATGTTATGCCTAAAACATTGATAAATTAAATAAAGTAACGGATATATAGTACATTACCTTATGCATCGGGGGCCAAACTGACTACCCCAGCTGATTCTTGGGACATGTCTGACATGCAATTTGAATTTTCAATGAGACTAACATTTGGATAAGCAAATGTCGCCATTAGAAAGCAAAAAAGAGGTGCAAAAAAAGAAAATTTGGATAAGGAAAGTTTTGGATATCACTCATTCAGTTAGTGAGGGACGCCTGTAGTTGCCAGATAATACTTTTCTATGGTTCAGTAGCCACGAGGCTCTGTTTAGGTGCCAAAGGGAGGCACCCAATTTAAAATTACAATTGGGGCACAATAGTATTGTACTGTTTTGTGTGTGGAATTGTTACTGCTTTATCTGCTGATACAACCATGAGAAAAAAGGTAACAAAAGATAGAGTGATAAGTCTCCAAGAGGGTCATCCTAATATCTCCACCACAGCTTCCTGCCCATATTTAAGACCATCTCTCACCCTGTTTATACTTAACATGCAAAAGACCCCAATAATCCAGACTAGTTTTCTCATCCATAGTTAAACTGTAATAAGTCCAGCGCCTGTATCGTGTGCATGACAAAAGTCGAGGGTGTGATTTGGTTATGGTCTGTATTATTGCAGAACATAATTAAACCTTGAAATAATATGTCTGTGGCATTTTTCACCTGTATATTGTCTTTACAGAACAACTTAATGCTGCATGTATTGTATTATTCCTTTTGTCACATTACATTTGTTGCTTTCAGCCTTTATATTATTGTGTTTGCCTTGAATGTTAATGAGTGCAGTGATTGGCCTCTGACGTACAGTAGTGGGTGACCGGTCAAATGAGCCACAGTCCTAATGAGCTTTAGTCCTGATAACGTCCAGCCTAATGTAACATAACCATTAGGACTGAGCCCCTAGCCTTAATGGGTCCCTAGCCTTAAAGGGCCCCTAGCCTTAAAGGGCCCCTAGCCTTAATGGGTCCCTAGCCTTAATGGGCCCCTAGTTTTAATGGGTCCCAAACAAATGAGGTGCCTGGCCAAATGGTCGACCCGTCATTGTACACCCGAGCACCTCATAATAGGTGCCAAACATATTCATCCCACATGGGACATGTCCCGAATATAATGGTTCCCAAACACAGTACTGTAGGTCCAAACACAGTACTGTAGGTCCCAAACACAGTACTGTAGGTCCCAAACACAGTACTGTAGGTCCCAAACACAATACTGTAGGTCCAAACACAGTACTGTAGGTCCAAACACAGTACTGTAGGTCCAAACACAGTACTGTAGGTCCAAACACAGTACTGTAGGTCCCAAACACAGTACTGTAGGTCCCAAACACAATACTGTAGGTCCAAACACAGTACTGTAGGTCCCAAACACAGTACTGTAGGTCCCAAACACAGTACTGTAGGTCCCAAACACAGTACTGTACACAATACTGTAGGTCCCAAACACAGTACTGTAGGTCCAAACGTACTGTAGGTCCCAAACACAGTTTTGTAAGGTCCCAAACTTACAATGTACTGTGGGTCCCTTTCCTGAAACCTGATGCACAGTACTTACAGTAGGTCCCAAACACAATACTGTGGTCCAAACACAGTACTGTGGGTCCCAAACATACAATACTGTAGGTCCCAAACCACAGTACTGTACTGGGTCCCAAACACAATACTGTAGGTCCAAACACAGTACTGTAGGTCCAAACACAGTACTGTAGGTCCCAAACACAGTACTGTAGGTCCCCAAACACAGTACTGTGGGTCCCAAACACAGTACTGTAGGTCCCCTAAACACAGGTCCAGTACTGTAGGTCCCAAACCTGATACTGTAGTACTGTAGGTCCCAAACCCACAGTACTGTAGGTCCAAACACAGTACTGTGGTCCAAACAGTACTGTAGTACTGCCAGTACCGCCAGGTCCAAACACCAGGCACTGTGGAAACAGTACTGTAAACACAATTGCTGTAGGTCTAAACACAGTACTGTACTGGGTCCCCTAAACACAGTACCCAAACACAGTACTGTGGAGTCTAAACACAGTACTGTGGAGTTAAACAAACACAGTACTGTAGGTCCAATGCTACAAAACACAGTACTGTAGGTCCCAAACACAGTACTGTAGGTCCCAAACACAGTACTGTGAGTCTAAACTACAATTACTGTAGGTCCAAACACAGTACTGTAGGTCTAAACACAGTATATGTAGTCAAACACAGTACTGTAGGTCCCAAACTGTAGGTTAAACAGTACTGTAGGTCCAAACACAGTACTGTAGGTCCTAAACACAGTACTGTGGGTCCCGACACAGTACTGTAAACACAGGGAGTCCCAAACACAGTACTGTAGGTCCCAAACTGCCACCAGTACTGTAGGTCCCACAGTACTGTAGGTCCCACAGTACTGTAGGTCTGTGGGTCCCAAACACCACAGTACTGTAGGTCCCAAACACAGTACTGTAGGTCAAACACAGTACTGTAGGTCCCAAACACAGTACTGTAGGTCCCAAACACAGTACTGTAGGTCCAAACACAGTACTGTAGGTCTGTGGGTCTAAACAGTACTGTAGGTCCAAACGCCTGTGCTGTGAGTCCAAACACCACAGTACCCAAACCCGCAGTACATTTCCACAATGCTGTACTGTAGGTCCCACAGTACTGTAGGTCAAACACAGTACTGTAGGTCCAAACAAACACCAGTACTGTAGGTCCAAACCTACAGCAGGTGTATGGGTCTAACACAGTACTGTGAGTCCAAACACAGTACTGTAGGTCCAAACAAACACCTACAGTACTGTAGGTCCCAAACACAGTACTGTAGGTCCAAACTGTAGTACAGCACTGTGGGTCAAACACAGTACTGTAGGTCCCAAACTTACAGTACTGTAGGTCCTAGCTCTACAGTACTGTAGGTCCCCAAACACAATACTGTAGGTCCAAACCTGTGCTATGTACCCAAACACAATAGGTCTGTAGGTCAAACACAGTACTGTAGGTCCAAACACAGTACTGTAGGTCCAAACACAGTACTGTAGGTCCCAAACACAATACTGTAGGTCCCAAACACAGTACTGTAGGTCCCAAACACAGTACTGTAGGTCCCAAACACAGTACTGTAGGTCCCAAACACAGTACTGTAGGTCCCAAACACAGTACTGTAGGTCCAAACACAGTACTGTAGGTCCCAAACACAATACTGTAGGTCCCAAACACAGTACTGTAGGTCCCAAACACAGTACTGTAGGTCCCAAACACAGTACTGTAGGTCCCAAACAATAGGTGTCACTCCAGATTACTGTACTACAAGACTGAGGCCCATTTGACTTGCTACTGTGAGTGAAGAGTTGTGTGACCATTATTATAATGCTGGCTTCACTTCCATTAACTGACCAAGTGGAACTAATCTTTGCTTGATCAAACAAATCCTTTGTACAAAATATGATCCTTTTCATTCCTGGATGAGGATAACTGTAATGCTGTAGTGGTACGCTTCTGGATGTGAAGTCATCTTTCACGTCACGTGTACGTCACTGGACCTGGGATTAACATGAGTTGTGTGCACTCTGTTGAGTATTCAATCATTCTGATTTTTCAGTGTCAGGCTGCATATTTGTGGTGAAGAAAGTGTGGTCTCCCTTTGAACGGGGCATGTTTTGTGATGACGAGTCACTCCGCTACCCGTTTACCGATCATGAAACAGTGTCTGACATGGCCCTCATGCTTTTTGGGGTGGCCATGCCCGTGGGCCTGGTAAGTTGGGAAGACATTCCACACTTTTGAGTCCCAACACTGGGCCATCCCAGCATTGGATGTTGGGGTATTAGTGTACGAGAGTAAAGCGCCACGATTGGTAGTCAGTTAACGTGGGTAGTGTTGTCCTCGTAGCTGGTCATGGCTGTTGACGATGTGCTGTAGGATGTGCTTTAACCATTAACGGTTGTGTTATAACGCCTCGAGCTCTATTAATATTTGCTAGCGATGCACACGACCACCCAAGAGCGTTAGTCTTGGCCAACCTACAGCAATGGTCATGTCCAGCCACAGTTTATAGTCCAACACAAAACTAGTGTTTAGGTTCACTGTTTGTTTATAGTTGTACATGAGTTTGAAACACTTTACTTACTAAAAACATACAGCTCATGAACAACTTGTCTTGAGGAGCAGTTAGGGACAGTAGGTTTGTATGTAGAGTAATGGACTACAGTACTTGGAGTCATACCAGTGTAAGCTTTCCTGCTTTGTATTTAATCAGTGTAGGTCTTGGGAGTACTACAGTATAAATGTTTACACTGATGAAGAAGAACCAACTGTATAATGATATATACAGTACAGTATAACAATTACTCTACTCTTTGTTATTAACTTTATACTGAATTATGTTTTCCATGCAGTACAGTACAAGTCAAGAGATATTGTGTAATGAAAGATAAGTCAAGTCTGTTTCTCAAAACTTTATGACATAATTAACAATGTCTTGTACAGTCTCCTAAGATAATTATTTTTATCCAATATTTGTAGATAAATGTTAATATATTTAGCAGAGGTTGAAACACTGTACAGTAGACCACCATAGTTAACTGTTTCACTTCCTTGATGGTACAGTATTGTACAGTACTTCATTCTCTGATTTCTTTAGGTAATTCATATTTTATATTATCGTTTTTCAGGCTTTTGTCGTGTTTAAATTTTAGAAAGGGTTTGTTTTTATATAGTCAGTATCTTTTTATATAGTTTGTGTACAATACAATACTGTCATAGGTTAAAAATAATCTTATATTTTTTTGTGTACAGTACGTATACCATATTTGTCGGCCCATAAGTCTACCTTTGAAATAATTATCCAGCAAACTAGGCGTGACTCTATCTACCAAGACCAAAATGTGAACCTTAAATTTTGAGATGAAAGATAGTAAAGTTAATGAAGACAAGAAGACTACACTACAGTACAGTACAGTACAGTGCAGTACACTACACTACAGCACAGCACAGTACAGTACAGTACAGTACAGTACAGTACAGTGCAGTACACTACACTACAGCACAGTACAGTACAGTACAGTACAGTACACTACACTACAGCACAGTACAGTACAGTACAGTACAGTACAGTACAGTACAGTACAGTACAGTACAGTACAGTACAGTGCAGTACAGTGCAGTACAGTGCAGTGCAGTACAGTACAGTACAGTACAGTACAGTACAGTACAGTGCAGTACACTACAGTACAGTACAGTACAGTGCTACAGTACAGTACAGTACAGTACAGTACAGTACAGTACAGTACACTACAGTACAGTACAGTACACTACAGTGCAGTACAGTACAGTACAGTGCAGTACAGTGCAGTACAGTACACTACACTACAGTACACTACACTACAGTACAGTACAGTACACTACAGTACAGTACAGTACAGTACAGTACAGTACAGTACAGTACAGTACACTACACTACACTACAGTACAGTACAGTACACTACACTACACTACAACTACAGTACAGTGCAGTACAGTACAGCACAGCACACACGCACAGTACAGTACACTACACTACAGTACACTACAGTACAGTGCAGTACACTACACTACACTACAGTACAGCACAGTACAGTACAGTACACTACAGTACACTACAGCACACTGTACACTACAGTACTACAGTACAGTGCAGTACTGTACACTACACTGAGTACAGTGCAGTACAGTACACTACACTACAGTACAGTGCAGTACACTACAGTACAGTACAGTGCAGTACACTACAGTACACTACACTACAGTACAGCATAGTACAGTACACTACAGTACAATACACTACACTACACTACAGTACAGTGCAGTACACTACAGTACACTACACTACAGTACAGTGCAGTGCAGTACAGCACAGCACAACACAGTACACTACACTACACTACAGTACAGCACAGCACAGTACAGTACACTACACTACAGTACAGTACAGTACTGTACACTACAGTACAGTACACTACACTACACTACAGTACAGTGCAGTACACTACAGTACAGTGCAGTACACTACAGTACACTACAGTACACTACAGTACAGTGCAGTGCAGTACACTACACTACAGTACAGTACACTACAGTACACTACACTACAGTACAGTACAGTGCACTACACTACAGTACAGTACACTACAGTACACTACAGTACAGTACACTACAGTACACTACAGTACACTACACTACAGTACACTACACTACATTACAGTACAGTACAGTACAATACAGTACTGTACAATACAGTACAGTACAATGCAGTACAGTACAACACAGTACAATACAGTACAGTACACCGCAGTACAGTATGGTACAATACAGTACAGTACAATTCAGTACAGTACAATACAGTTCAGTACAATACAGTACAGTACAGTACAACACAGTACAATACAGTACAGTACACTGCAGTACAGTATGGTACAATACAGTACAGTACAATTCAGTACAGTACAATACAGTTCAGTTCAATACAGTACAGTACAGCACAGTACAATACAATACAGTACAATTCAGTACAGTACAATACAGTACAGTACAATACAGCACAGTTCCGTACAGTACACTACAGTACATCACTGCCAGCATCTTGTGACCAGGTGGTTTGTTATTGCCTGCCAGCATGATGTACACCCTGGCTCCTGTACACAACATTATGTACACCCTGGCTCCTGTACACAACATTATGTACACCCTGGCTCCTGTACACAACATGATGTACACCCTGGCTCCTGTACACAACATGATGTACACCCTGGCTCCTGTACACAACATGATGTACACCCTGGCTCCTGTACACAACATGATGTACACCCTGGCTCCTGTACACCTGGCTCCTGTACACAACATGATGTACACTCTGGCTCCTGTACACAACATGATGTACACCTGGCTCTCTCTACACACACATGATGTACACTCTGGCTCCTGTACACAACATGATGTACACCCTGGCTCCCTGACACAACATGATGTACACTCTGGCTCCTATACACAACATGATGTACACCCTGGCTCCTGTACACACAACATGATGTACACCCTGGCTCCTGTACACAACATGATGTACACCCTGGCTCTGTACACAACATGATGTACACTCTGGCTCCTGTACACAACATGATGTACACCCTGGCTCCCACACAACATGATGTACACCCTGGCTCCTGTACACAACATGATGTACACCCTGGCTCCTGTACACAACATGATGTACACCCTGGCTCCTGTACACAACATGATGTACACCCTGGCTCCTGTACACAACATGATGTACACCCTGGCTCCTGTACACAACATGATGTACACCCTGGCTCCTGTACACATAATGAGGCTTTATTGAAACACTGGAGAGAGAGAGTATATATGTATATTTTACAGCATTATCAAAGTTGTAACTAAATTCTATTACAAAATATACAGTTTAATCTATGAACTAGAACTACATATTGAACATGAAAATACTTAATATTTTCTCCAACTACAGCCATCATAAACTACACCCATCATAAACTACAGCCACCATAAACTACAGCCATCATAAACTACAGCCATCATAAACTAAAGCCATCATAATCTACAGCCATCATAAACTACAGCCATCATAAACTACAGCCATCATAAACTACAGCCATCATAAACTACACCCATCATAAACTACACCCATCATAAACTACAGCCACCATAAACTACACCCATCATAAACTACACCCATCATAAACTACAGCCATCATAAACTACAGCCATCATAAACTACACCCATCATAAACTACAGCCATCATAAACTACAGCCATCATAAACTACAGCCATCATAAACTACAGCCATCATAAACTACAGCCATCATAAACTACAGCCATCATAAACTACAGCCATCATAAACTACACCCATCATAAACTACACCCATCATAAACTACACCCATCATAAACTACACCCATCATAAACTACAGCCATCATAAACTACAGTACGGCCCTCATATTAAAAAAAATAAACTGCTCGCTTCCCCATCCTACCCACAAACATCAATATCTTGGGTCAGATTGGTCGTTGTATCATGTTAAAGGTTCCATTGTGTCAGATATTGAGGCTCTCTTCATCATCATTCTCTTCCACAATAAACACACTATCTATTGAATTATATACTTCACATTTTCTTAATAACTGTTTATACCTTCATTACATCACTGGTAACATTGTATCACTGGTAGCATTGTATCACTGGTAGCATTGTATCACTGGTAGCATTGTATCACTGGTAGCATTGTATCACTGGTAGCATTGTATCACTGGTAGCATTGTACACTGGTAACATTGTATCACTGGTAGCATTGTATCACTGGTAGCATTGTATCACTGGTAGCATTGTATCACTGGTAGCATTGTATCACTGGTAACATTGTATCACTGGTAACATTGCATCACTGGTAACATTGTACATGGTGGTGAACTCTACTGCTGAGGTGGTGAAACTGCTGGGTGAACCTACTGCTGGAGGTGGTGAGCTACTGCTGAAGTGGTGAGCTCTACTGCTGAGGTGGTGAGCTCTACTGCTGAGGTGGTGAGACTGCTGAGGTGGTGAGCTCTGGCTGGAGGTGGTGAGCTCTACTGCTGAGGTGGTGAGCTGAGCCTACTGCTGAGGTGGTGAGCTCTACTGCTGAAGTGGTGAGCTCCACTGCTGAGGTGGTGAGTGCTGAGGTGGTGAGCTCCACTGCTGAGGTGGTGAGT